CCTGGAGAAGTTCAGTTTCATAGTTCCTGACTATGGAACTGAACTTCTCCAGGCTGAGGGACTGACAACCTCAAATTCTACGACTTCAAGGGTGATGGACTGATTACATCGTCTTCACATCTCTACTGTTCCTGCCTACTTTCTGTATTCGACTGAAGAAGCCTACTGTGTAGGCGAAACGTTTCGGAATAAAGTTGCCTAACTGTTGCCTATATGTCTTACCTACCTAGCCCATGACTGTTGAATTAAGGAACAAGCTTATAACTGGTGACTGGGCAACAAACCCATACTAGTGATTGAGGTGACGAGCCCATGACTGGAGACAACAAGGACATGCCTCGTGACTAGGACAATAGGCCCATTTCTGGTGGCTGAGACACGAATCTCATGACTGGTGACTGAGCTAACAATCCCATGACTGGTCACTGGGACAACAAGCCCATTATTGGCCACTAGGTAACAAGCCCACGACTGGTGCCAAGGTAACAGGCCCACGGCTGGTGTCTAGGCAACAAGCTCACGGCTGGTGACTAGGCAACATGCCCACGACTGGTGCCAAGGTAACAGGCCCACGGCTGGTGACTAGGTAACAAGCTCACGGCTGGTGACTAGGCAACATGCCCACGACTGGTGTCAAGGTAACAGGCCCACGGCTGGTGACTAGGCAACAAGCTCACGGCTGGTGACTAGGCAACATGCCCACGACTGGTGCCAAGGTAACAGCCACGGCTGGTGTCTAGGCACAAGCTCACGGCTGGTGACTAGGCAATATGCCCACGACTGGTGCCAAGGTAACAGGCCCACGGCTGGTTGTCTAGGCAACAAGCTCACGCTGGTGACTAGGCAACATGCCCACGACTGGTGCAAGGTAACAGGCCCACGCTGGTGACTAGGCAACAAGCTCACGACTGGTGACTAGGCAACATGCCCACGACTGTGCCAAGGTAACAGCCCACGGCTGGTGTCTAGGCAACAAGCTCACGGCTGGTGACTAGGCAACATGCCCACGACGGGTGCCAAGGTAACAGGCCCACGGCTGGTGTCTAGGCAACAAGCTCACGGCTGGTGACTAGGCAACATGCCCACACTGGTGCCAAGGTAACAGGCCCACGGCGGGTGTCTAGGCAACAAGCACGGCTGGTGACTAGGCAACATGCCCACGACTGGTGCCAAGGTAACAGGCCCACGGCTGGTGACTAGGCAACAAGCTCACGACTGGTGACTAGGCAACATGCCCACGACTGGTGCCAAGGTAACCAGGCCCACGGCTGGTCCTAGGCAACAAGCTCACGGCTGGTGACTAGGCAACATGCCCACGACTGGTGCCAAGGTAACAGGCCCACGACTGGTGTCTAGGCAACAAGCTCACGGCTGGTGACTAGGCAACATGCCCACGACTGGTGCCAAGGTAACAGGCCCACGGCTGGTGTCTAGGCAACAAGCTCACGGCTGGTGACTAGGCAACATGCCCACGACTGGTGCCAAGGTAACAGGCCCACGGCTGGTGTCTAGGCAACAAGCTCACGGCTGGTGACTAGGCAACATGCCCACGACTGGTGCCAAGGTAACAGGCCCACGGCTGGTGTCTAGGCAACAAGCTCACGGCTGGTGACTAGGCAACATGCCCATGATTGGTGAGAGATTTTGCTAAAGACAAAACTTAATAGATTTGATAGACTTGACAGACTTATAGACATTATAAACATGACACACTTAATAGATATGATAGACATTACAGATTTGACAGACATTATTAACTTGACAAACTTATTAAACATGATAGACTTAACAGACTTGAGAGATGTAATAGAACTGACAGAATTGATTGACATGATAGACTGAACAGCCTTGATAGACATGACTGACTTGACAAATTTGATAGACATGATAGATTTGATAATAATATAATAATAATAATAATAATAATAATAATAATAATGAAAATAATAATAATATGAAAATAATAATAATAAAAATAATTAATAATAATAATAATAATAATAATAATGAAAATAATAATAATAAAAATAATAATAATAATAATAATAATAATAATAATGAAAATAATAATAATAATAATAATAATAATATTTATTTCTACAAGCATGTGTGCAAGGTATACAAGCCTAGTTGACATCATTGACATACTACCTTGTTATGCAAAGCATTTTGGGCAAATTAGGTCAGTGTTGTCCCAGGATGCGACCCACACCAGGTATCCATTATTACTGATGGGTGAACATAGACACCCGGTGTAAGGAAACACGCCCAATGTTTCCACCCCTTCGCCGGGAATCGAACCCTTACCCTCATCGTGTGAAGCGAGAGCTTTCGTCACCAGGTTACGGGGTACCGTAATAGACATTATAGACATGATAGACTTGATAGACTTGACACACCTGACAGAATTGATAGACATTACAGACATGATGGACTTGACAGACTTAATATACATGATAAACTTGAGAGAGAAATGGTCAGAATTATTCACTTAGAGAGCTTAGATACACGTTGTAGGTGTACGTCTGAGAGACGTCATGTGGAGGACAACAACACAAGCATAACTCACGAAATCGTAATGACACGATTGCAAAGAAACCATCTCTCTGATCGCGGGTTCAAACCCCGCCAGTGGTATGGTTTGATTTTTTTTTTAATACAGGCATAGCAAAGGAACAAATTATATTGTTACATTCCACTCACGAGAGAATTTATCTTGATCAGAAAAAAAAAATGCAGTTGAAACATTTTAGCGCTAAAATTAGTCTTCTAGTTTATTATACGTGTCTTTTTTTACTGGAATAATTGTGAACTTAGTACTGCAAGCATGCTTGTATGTACTCTTCAGAATTATGGTGAGATTCTCATTTCAAGAAGAATATTTAAACCAAAGATGTAAGTAAAGATGGCTACACTGAGTTTTGCTATATCAGAAGTTTCGAATTTGTGGTATAGGAAAGCAATAAGTTTTGACAAGATGTGCAATGAGATTTTTAGAAATCTTATATTCATGGAAAAGTGCTTAGCCCGAAATGGAGTCATACAGTGACTGGGGGAAGAGGAGACAATCAGGTTCAATCTGAGTTCTTTAGAGGTTTTGATTGGGAACACGATGTCGGTAGAATACTGTATTTTAGATGTAGTTTCCCTTTGTGATGAATGGTGCTGAAATTAATCTCTGAGGCTGTCCACGACCATGAATGTCCTCGCATCAGGATGACATACTGATCACCTGGTATTTAAGGATGGTGATCCAGTGGAGAGAGTGTTGCGCACTTTGTTCATTTCACAGAGGGCTGGGCTGGGCAGGGCATGCGAACGCAGGGTCGAGTCCTGGCTAAGCCACTGTTCTGTTAATGATATATATATATATTATATATATATATATATATATATATATATATATATATAATATATATTATATATATATATATATTAAATAATATATATTGGAAAGTAGTGGTAGCCCTTTTACACAAAAATATAATTTTTTTGCTCTTGTAAATGAGGCTACTAAGATGTGACTACGGAACGCAAATGGTTGTTTAACCAGTATGACTGTTGCTGTATAATCACTTATGTGTATCAGCAGCTGACAAAGTCCAGTGTCAGAAAGCAGTTTTCTGTTTCCTGGTGAATAAACCACCAGCACAACAACGTTAAATTCTTTCCAAAAATCATGTCATTGATTTATATTTGGAGCTCTATAAGGAAGACGTAAAGTCAAAAATGGGAAAACCCTAATGAAAATTTATAAGCTGGATGATTGTACTAAAAGGTTCTACCATAAAATTATAAAACAATCCCTGAAATAAGTTTAAATTCTCTATTTACGTCATTCACAAGCCAGAGACTAAGGAAAATGAAGCTCAATATTACACTATACTAACACTCGTGTCTCAAAATAATTGGGACCCAAAGGCTGAGAACAAAGCAACCACAGCTTAGACATGAGTTAGAGGAAAGCCCACAATACCATGCAAAAAAAATCTTATTATCTAAGTTCAGACAGTCCGGGAATTCAACAGTATTCAGCAACTTATTCAAAACGATGGTCAGTTCTAAGTGAGAAATTCTGTACATGAAAATTGAAATGGAAACTGCAGATTTTTCCTTTAGATGCAAACCTTTTTTTTTTCAAAAATTATGAGGCAACACAGCCCAAACATCAGTGGAATAGAGGTTATTAGCTAATATTGTCTTAACATCACATAGGCCTGGTGCAGTTGGCTGACATCATTCCCTGTCTCTCCGTAGTCTTTCAAATGACTTAAGGGTACTGATATAAAATATGAATTAAAAGCAACAGATGCTGATAGAAGTACGTTTGAGGAATTCGTACGATTTCATAAAGTAGCTCTTGGTTCTTTCACTTTACTCTTTTATTTCCTAATTTCTAATCTAAATATATAGTCATATAATGTGATTTTCTGTTACTTAAAGTTTTGATTCATTGTACTATGTGCACACTCATCAACATATACTCTAACCAGAGAAGTACGCACTAACCAAAACATGAGCAGTAATTAACACATACATTGTGACCAAACATGTGCCCACTAATCAACACATATTCAATGACCAGACAAGTGCTCACTAATCAGCACATACTCACTTATCAGGAATTTGCCTGCTAATGAACATACATTCGTTATGCATCCGCATAGTAATCAACATATATACACTGATCAGGTATAAACCGATGAGTAACATGTGCGTACCCTGAATCTCTGACTGTATTATGCAGTTTAAATACCGGTTGGAAAACGGATATAGCGATTATGACATAGTGTGAATAAAGACACTTATACACAGTTCAAGACACGAGAAGCTTTTTCAGTCCTAAAGTGAACTGGGCATAAATGTCTTGATCTAGTTCATGTATTGGATTAAAGCACTTCCGCTGCTTACGGCACTATCCCAATCATTATCTCAAAGGGATATAAATATAATATGTAGATTTTTCTATAAACAAACCGGCCGTATCCCACCGAGGCAGGGAGGCCCAAAAAGAAAAATGAAAGTTACTCTTTTTTTAAATTTAGTAATTTATACAGGAGAAGTGGTTACTAGCCCCTTGCTCCCGACATTTTAGTCTCCTCTCACGACATATATGGCTTACGGAGGAAGAATTCTGTTCCACTTCCCCATGAAGAATAATATGTATATATCTTCATCAAAATAACTCCTACTTTATGGAGCCAGATCACCACCTGATTAAGAGTCGAACGATTCTTTAGACGCTTTCTAGACAGCTACCAATGAGCACTGTACTTGTCGCTGATGAGCGAAATTGTTCAAAGTCCTGAAACACCAAGCGCACAGGAAAGTTCTACTCCTCACACCGTAAGAATTATATAAGAGAACACCAAGTTTGGCTTTTCTTTTAATTACAAATCAATTACACTAGACAAATCATCTACAGGGTCACCTAAATTAACGCACTGTGTACAGGCAAGTGCTAGAAGAGAGCAACCACAGTGCTTACAAATGCAACCTACACTAAAGGGACTCTACCTTTTCACAACACTGTATAGTTACTAACAACAGTAAAGTTAACCAGAACATAGAGTTATAGTCTTTCTGATGAATAATATAATGCGAGGACGATGAAGATGACGAGGGAGGCGAGGAAGAGTCATGTTCCAGACTTGGATTGTGAAGTCTCTTGGTGGTCTGTCGCTGTTGTGTGTTGGGATTCCTCTGAGGCCACTTGCGAGCATCATCATGGTCGTCCTTTAGTGCGGCTGAAGCATCTGCAACATGAAAACAAAGGTAAATTTAAGTTACATATATGTAAGTGCAAATAACTATTGCTTCTATACACATTAGTAATTGGGGCATATATATGTACACACACACACGCGTATGTATATATATATATATATATATATATATTATATATATATATATATATGTGTGTTTTTGTGGTGTGTGTGTGTGTGTGTGTGTGTGTGTGTGTGTGTTTGTTTGTGTGTAATAAGATCGCATAAACAGGTTATATCAGAATATGCAAAACAATCACTGTGAAAGAGTAGTGAAATTCCAAGCACTTTAGTGATTTCTCACATTAATGTGAGAAGTCTCGAAAGCGCTTGGAATTTCACCATTCAGATATTTGGGAGTGGACGTGTCAGCGGATGGGTCTATGAAAGATGAGGTGAATCATAGAATTGATGAGGGGAAAAGGGTGAGTGGTGCACTTAGGAGTCTGTGGAGACAAAGAACTTTGTCCTTGGAGGCAAAGAGGGGAATGTATGAGAGTATAGTTTTACCAACGCTCTTATATGGGTGTGAAGCATGGGTGATGAATGTTGCAGCGAGGAGAAGGCTGGAGGCAGTGGAGATGTCTTGTCTGAGAGCAATGTGTGGTGTGAATATAATGCAGAGAATTCGTAGTTTGGAAGTTAGGAGGAGGTGCGGGATTACCAAAACTGTTGTCCAGAGGGCTGGGGAAGGGTGTTGAGGGGTTCGGACATGTGGAGAGAATGGAGCAAAAAACAGAATAACTTCAAGAGTGAAATCAGTCTGTAGTGGAAGGAAGGCGGGGTAGGGGTCGGCCCTAGGAAAGGTTGGAGGGAGGGGGTAAAGGAGTTTTGTGTGCGAGGGGCTTGGACTTCCAGCAGGCATGCGTCAGCGTGTTTGATGGGAAAGTGAATGGAGACAAATGGTTTTTTACTTGACGTGCTGTTGGGGTGTGAGCAAAGTAACATTTATGAAGGGGTTCGGGGAAAACCCGGGCAGGCCGGACTTAAAGCCCTGGAGATGGGAAAAAACAGTGCCTGCACTCTGAAGGAGGGGTGTTAATGTTGCAGTTTTAAAAACTGTAGTGTAAAGCACCCTTCTGGCAAGACAGTGATGGAGTGAATGATGGTGAAATTTTTTCTTTTTGGGGCCCAAACCCTCCCTTTGGGGTTTGGGAATCGGCCAGTGTGATAATAAAAATAATAAAAATAATATATTAAAATAATATATATATATATATATATATATTATAATATATATTATATATATATATATAATTTTATATATATATATATATATAATGGGGTCCACCTCTGGTGTAAATTTGGGACCCATAGCCTCGGAGTAGTGGATAAAAAGGCTTAAAGGGAAAGACGACTGGCACTTGGCTCCCCTAGTATTGCCAACCGTACCATTTTCTGGCTGCTCGCTTCCTCCTGGTTGGCATCCACCTGCCTAGACTGGGGACTGTAAGAGTGGAGTATATATATATAAATAATATATATAATATATATATATAAAAATATTATATATATATATGTGTGTGTGTGTTGTGTGTGTATAGTTTTATGCAATAATTTCGCAAAAGTCTTTCTGAACCTAACGAAAAAGGTATATTTCATTGTGTTTGTTTATTATTAAATTATTGTAAGCTTATCTAAAATATATTTAGTTGGATTAGGCTAAATTAAATTGCGCTTGTTATAAGGTAGGTAACTTTTCTAAGGTTCTCTTGGTACAAAATTATTAATTTTACAATAATATAAATAAAAAACTATGTCTTTAAACGTATAAGAGACAATTTTAGAAAGAGCCTAATTTTAAATGAGTTCTTGCTAATTCTCCAATTTGCCTATTTTGCACAAATACATATATAAGTATATATATAATATATATATATATATATATATTTATAAATAATTTTATATATAAAAATATATCTATATATTATTTTATATGCAATAAGATCACAGTAAACAGGTGATTTCAGAATATGCAAAACAACCACTGTGAAAGAATAATGAAATTCCAAGCGTTTTGTGACTACTCACATTATCAAGGAACAATAAAAGTAATGCATCAAAGAAAGGCATAAAAGGGTCTAGACCACACCTCACCATCACATCCCACAACAAAGCAACACTTGACACGCGACTCGTAAGAAAGAGAACACTGCAGCAGGCCCGCTGGCCCAACTAATCAGGTCCTTCACGCAACCCACAAATAAACAATTCTACCCAAGAATTAAGATTTATTATTTGTCCAATGCATTATTAAATTCCTCCCAAACTCTATTAATTATAAATGGATCTAATTTACATAAACCAAAGGAAATATTCATACTATTGTCAAAACTGCTTTTTATGAAACAAGATTCAATTATATTCCTGTCGACCATGGACTTGCTTGATACTACTTTCTCAACTTTTTGAAAATAAATTGGTTGGTTAAAATCTCTTACATGAATAAATAGAGCATTGGAATCTTGTCCAGTTCTAATGCTATATTTATGTTGTTTTAATCTTAGTTCGAGACTTTTACCAGTTTGACCGTAATAAACTTTATCGTAAATTTTACAAGGAATCTTATAGACACATCCGTCAGCATTTTGGGGGGAATTCTTAATCAAAAGTTGTTTTACTGTATCAAGATTTTTAAATACAACTTTGATAGTGAAAGTCTTAATAATATCAACCAAGTTTTCGTGGTAAGGGAGAACCAACGTATTTTTAGTTGAGTAAGGCTGGTTGTCCCTTTTTGGATTGTAAAATGTATTTCTAGCAATTTTAAAAGATTTGTCAACTACGTTTCTTGGGTATTTCAGATCATTACCTATTTCATAAATTTTGGATATTTCTTCATCTATGAACTCTGAACTACAAATATGCAAAGATCTCAAAAACACTGGTGAGAAAACAGACAGTTTAACTCTATCTTGATGTGAAGAATAATAGTGTACCTTACGAACAGTTATTTGTAGGCTTTCTGTAAATTTTAAATTTGAATTCATTATTACCTTTAATAATTAAAACATCTAGAAAAGACAGTGAGTTATTTTCCTCAAACTCAACTCATTATTCTTTCACAGTGATTGTTTTTTCATATATATATATTATATTTTAAATATATATATATATATATATTATATAATATATTTTATATATATATATATGTCGTGCCGAATATGTAAAACTGGTCAATTAGCAAGAACTCATTTAAAATTAAGTCCTTTCTAAAAAATTTTCTTATACCCTTTAAAGATATAATTTTTTTTCATTAATGTTATTATAAAAAATTTTAATTTTGCACCAAAGAATCTTAAAAAACTTACCTAACCTTATCATAACAAGAAATATTTATTTTAGCCTAACCCAACTATAAATATTTTTAGATTTGTTTACAATAATTTAATACAAATAAACACAGTGGAACATATTTTTTTTCCTTAGGTTCAGATGATTTTGGCGAAATTATTTCATATACAAATTTTCGCTTGACCCATATGGCAAGTTGAGCGTTGCTATTTAAGGGCCCAAAATCGCAAGTTCTGCCTATTCGGCACGACATATATATATATATATATATATATATATATATATATATAATATAAATATATATATATACAAAACAACCACTGTGAAAGAATAATATATATATATATTATATATATATATATTTTATATATATAATATATTATATATATATAAAAAATTATCTCTCAGTCCACAACAAGCCGATCAATATGATCTACATGGTACAAAGTGTTCCGAAATCAAGGAGTGACACACAAGACAGTAGGAAAATTACTTCACATCAAAAGGAAATGGGTCTAGAGGAAACTGCTAGAGAGAAATAATCCCGTTTCGGAAGCTGACCCTTAGGTAAATACTGGTTTATCCATATGAGTGAATGGGAGCAGCAGAACCTGTGATCTACTCAATTCGTCAATGTAGAATTGCATTTACAACAGTCCAGAGAGTTGAAGAAGGAATCTTGCTCAAGATTGTTTACAATGACAATTTTGTTTTGCAGTCAGGAAAAACAAGGGAAAGTATCCCCATAAACATTCAATATTTGCAAAGGCATGGTATGTTGGGGTTTTTATCAACATGTGGACCCCGATTTGCCCTGAAAGATTTATTAATTCATTCCATAAATTAAGGAAAGTTCCTAGTAAACCCTTTAAAAAAAGCAAATTAAAATTTAGTGATTATGGACAACGTAAATAACAGTAGGAAAATGAAATTTTTTTAGAAGCCCCGGAAACTAAGACCCCCTTAATTTTAAGCCCCTTTTGGGCCAAAATTAAAAAGTAATTTCAAAAAAAAACTTAGAATTTTACAGATAGGTAATGGGGAAACCCTTTTTCAGCTAGGTCGGCGTGCTCTCTTTTTTGCAATCTGCTTATGTTGCTGTTTTTCCCTCTTTCTATTTGTTTTTTATATTGTGAACCAGCAGAAACCCCAAAGTCTGAGCTCTTTTGAAAACCGCTTGTGACGCTCCCCACTCTGATGTCTCATTATTTATCCCAAACTCCAATTGCCTATCTTCTTTTCCCCCCAGGAAAAAATTTCTATTCTGTGTCCCTCAGTTTTCTTAAAACAACGATTAGAACTTACCAAAACCCTTATTTTAATTGAGTCTATATACCAATAAAATTTTTCTTTAACCATTACCACCTCCTAGAAAACAATAGAAAAAAAAAAGACAGAAAAGGGTAAGAAATGAACTCCCCTTTGAAAAATCATGCTGAGATTCATTGATTAATTTGTTTTCTTTCAAAAATGGCTTGGGGAATATCCCGGCAGTTACTGATTCCATCACTTTTCCCACAAGGGATTTTAAAGTTAATTGTTTTTAAAAATCAAAATCTAAGGACCTGTCTTCTGTTTTGGGAAAGATAAGTGCCCTTTATTTGCCTTTTTCAACTTATCTGACACTAGGGCCAGTTTGCAATGAGTTTTGAAAAGACACATAATGGTATGCTAGGTTCTTCCTTACTTTCCCTTTA